CATGTTTCATCAGGAAACCGGGATGTATCAGGTTAACATAGAAGAAGAATCGGTGTTAATTACATCTAGTTCTACTGCAGCTCAACCCCAATACCTCCACAACGTTTAGGTAATCATGCATCCGAATATATATATATATATATACTAGGAATAGGAACATATTATCCTTAACAATTTCTATTTTAAGTACTTCCCTTCTATGCAGTAGCTACAATACTGGGATTTAAGGTGATTCCTTCGAGATTAGATATGGCTCCTAAACACATGTTCAACACTTATTATTAGAGAACATTTCAGAAGAACCTTTCGAACAGTTATCAGATGAAGAAGTAAATTATGGTTCAGAATCATCTGTTCAGGAGTTAATATCAATAGAGCAAATAGAGCTTGTCCCAAAAACACCAAGATCACGTGAGGGCCTTGGAAGCTCCAGTTACGATATTGTGGATACAAAAAGAAGTGAAATACAGTTGAAATTACAGAGGATGTGGTATCTCTTAGCAAGGATTAAGAATTTGATCTCCATTTAATGAGTGAGGTAAAATAACTAAAAGTGGTAGCAATATTTTTTTTCCACGTTATCTTATTTCCTCAATAATCCTTCATATTTTGAAATTATTAGCTGAAGCATTGTACCTTTTCTACATGATTTTTTCAATTTTCTCTTTTGTACATCCTATTATTGTGCTTTAAGAATTTGTTTTTTTATTGGTAAGGAGATGAGTCTAGTTGAAAGAGATGAGAACTGACTAAGTAAGCACTACTTCAGATTGATTTAATAGTTGTAATATGTTCTAATCATGGGCTTGTGTAATTTCCTTCATATGGAATTCTGATCTAATCTTGTCTTCACTGCAGATGAATGATCGGAGCAAAAAAGGTGAAGCTGACAGGCATTTGGATCTTTTGATTTACATATATATATATATATATATATATATATATATATATCTCGTAGAAATTACTTTTATGAAGACCCCTTCAATTTCTTGAGATTTTTGTTTACAGAGGGGTGGCAAACTATTTGGGGAAAATTTTTATAAATCAAAGGAAAAAGCAAGAGGATGAACTGGTGAACCCGTTGCAAGTTTTAGAAGGAAGAACTCGAAAAAGGAAGTTCAAAGCTCTTTTATGAGATACTGGTAAGTTTCATACGTTTTTCTATAAAGAGAAATATAGTTTTATATCTTATTGATTTGTCTTACTTAGATTTTGCAGCTTTTTTGTGGTTCAGTTTCTTAATGTACATTTTTGCATATTTGAGCTTTTGAACATGAACCCGTTTTTATATTTAAATATGAACTCTAACAAATCTCTGTGTTGATGGGTAGTATATCTTTGTCCCTGTAAAAGATGTGGGTTCTAATTAGACAATTTGTTCCCATGTAGTCTCATTAGAAGATTGTAGCTTTTTTGTGGTTCGGTTTCTTAGCGTATATTTGTGCATATTTGACCTTTTAACATGGACACGTTTTTTATATTTAAATATAAACTCTAATAAATTTTCGGTTGGTTGGGATATCTCTATCTCTATGAGAGAATTCCCATGTATTCTCGTTAGTGGATTACGGCTTTTTTGTGGTTCAGTTTCTTATCGCATATTTGTGCATGTATGAGCTTTTGAACATGAACATATATTTCATATTTAAATTTAAACTCCAATAAATTTTCGGCTGGATGGTTCGTATATCTCTCTCTCTAAAAGATTGTGGATTCTAATTAGAAAGTATGTTCTCATGTGTTCTCGTTAGAAAATTGTAGCTTTTTTTATGGTTCAGTTTCTTAGTGTATATTTATGCGCGTTTGAACTTTTGAACATGAATCAGTTTTTAATATTTAAATTAAACTCTAATATATATTCAGTTGGATGTTTCATGTATCTTTTACTTTATAAGAGGTTGTGGATTTTAATCAAACAGTGTGTTCTTATTAAAAGATTGTATTATAATAGATGGACATGTGTCACTTAATTATGTAATGTATGTACTTTCTTCCAAAAGAAAATTCAAGAATAAACAAATTAAACTCTTCAAAAACTCAAAAAGTTAAGCTTTGGGAGTGAACTCGGTGATAATCTTTATGATTAATCCTAAACTCTAGAACAAAGCACAAAGGAAAAGATCATCCTCCATGCACGTGCTTTTCTTTGTTTTTGACATCATAAAGCTGGGGAGTACTGCAATCCAAGGTCTAACAATGGTGGTTTGTAACTTGTTTAGGTACAAAAAAGTGAAGGGTATGTGGATGTGAAGCATGAAAATGCACATGTTGACATTCTGGTGCAGAAAGCTCCTAGATGGGATGAGCTGCTTCCATGGAAATGATATGGTAAGAACAGAAAAACTGTCATATATATCATCAGCTTTTTTATATTTAGAGTAGAGAGCTATATTCAGGATATTGTATTGATGCAGTTTCTGTGTAAAATAGATTTTTAGTGTTGTTACATGGACCGCTTTTGATTTGAGTA